GAGAGAGAGAGAGAGAGAGAGAGAGAGAGAGAGAGAGAGAGAGAGAGAGAGAGAGAGAGAGAGACGCACCTGCTTCACGCGTGCACTTCGGGGGACGAGTTCGAAAAATGGCGCGGGCCAAGAACAGTCCCTTCGAAAAATGGCGGCGGTGAACTGCCCCCCTCCGATTCAAAAAAAAAGAAGAAGTAACCAAGTTCACCAACATATTTTCCGCCCCTTCCGGACGGTCGCGAAAGGGCCGAAAAAATAAGGGGCAATTTTTCTTGGGCGGCCCAAGGCGTGAAAAAACGCCCTGGGCCGCCCAAAAAAAAAATTGTTGTTGGCCTGGGGGGCCTCCATCCGGACCGGTTACCGGAAAGTGGTACCGGATTCCGGATCCCGGAGGCTCCGGATCCGTTTCCAGGGGTCCGGATCGTAGCCATGCTATGATATGATAGTCAATTGGGGGAATAAAACTCAAGGGTGGTGGATTCACTCTAATTGAGATCGTCCTCCAGAATCCCCCAGGGTGCAATGGGTACCCCTGGAGGCTCCACTGAGAATTATGGGGGTCTCTTTCTGCATTTGGCAAACCTGTTTCCAATGATGAGTGGATTTTTAAACCTGCTATAGAAAAAATGAATAAATGGAAAGGTTTACACACCTCTCTTTTTGGCAGATCTGTAGTAATAAATAATGTAGTGTTAGCCTCGATATGGTATAAATAGGCATTATGAGCAATTAGCAAATCACGTACTAAACAACTTCAAAAACAAGTATCGGTCTTTCTATGGAGGGGGGATCATGAACATAGACTGTCACCCCTCCGTGTTTGCATCCTTCCACAGGGGATAGTCCTATGACTCCTATCTCCCATCTCCCCTCCCTCTGGCGTATTGGGATCAACAGCACCGCCTGCTTTGATAGCGGCCCTGTGCCCTGACCCATTTCGACGAGGTGCCTAAGTATCCTTTTCCTCACCTGTGCCGACGGTGTGTTCTCGTCAGCGTCAGTTGGGGCATCAGGTGGCTCCGGGTCAGGGCCTGAAGCCAGCGAGTCCTTGTGTTCCTCGGGCTGTTGTGCAGGCCCCTCGTATGAAGCAGGTGGCTTGGCCAGCTCAGCCACATCTGGGGAGGTCGGGCTGGCCTCTGCAGGTGGATGGAACCGCGCAAAGACCATAGGAGCTAATCTGTGCCACGCCTCCAACCTTGATCCCTTGTACAGAGTGTGTTGACCCCGTGTGCTTTGAACCCAAGACCTGGCCCAAAAGTCGTCTGTCAGCAGTCTGTGTGTATTGTCTGGTCGTGTGGACTTCAACCGTGAGTCTTAGTTTTAACAGTCTTAGGGTCTGTTGCTTAAGTTAGCTCTAAGTCTTACGAAGAGTTAGTCAGCCTAGGCCTAGGAGTTTCTGGAAGTCCGTAGTTGGCTCTTCGGTACTGCAGACTCAGTGCAGAGGTCAATTGTCCGTAGGTGAGTCAGCAAAGGGCAGTCAGTCCTAGCACAGTTAGAAGTCCCAGTGCCTAGTCCCAGTCTACTTCGTCCAGTCAGCAAGTACTAGGTGGGACAACACAATCCTTGGGCCTGGGCCGAAGGCAGGCTAGACCATCGACGAAACAGTATAAATAAAGAGGCAGCGCCCAACCATGATTCATTCTGCAAGTGACGCGGAAGCGCTGTCTGAGTGTCTTGTGCGTTGGAGGTCTGCAGATGCCCGAAGACGAAGTGGGCAGGAAGGAGGAGACAGCGGCCATAGCCGCTAGGTAGAAGACAGTAGGAGGGAGACGGCGACCATAGCCGCCAATGTCAAGAAACAGTAGTATGTGTATGTGCGTGGTGTGTATGCGTGGACATTCAGGGTAGGTCCTAGTGTGTGTAAACATATGCATGAGTGAGTGTGAAGTGTCTGATGGTGGATAGAGTGTCCAGGTGGGAATTCAGACAGTGTTCAACGACCATAGCCGCAAGTTGTAAGAGTTGACTTAAACTGAGTTCCTGGTCAGAGGTCATATCTCTGAGTTTTCTGTGTGGGCGCCGCGCACCATCTCACACTTATTGCCGGTTCTGCATTTGCGAAAGTTCTTCTGCCATCAACATCTGTATGTATGCATGATGAAGGGAGTTTGAAGTTGAGTTTGATTACATAAACATCAGAAAGATGGGTAGCAGCATAGAAACATGTATTGATGTACCAAAATTGGTTGAATGATACTAGAAGGTCGATGCAAAGTGTTCCACCAATTTACAGAGAATTTTATTGTTGTGCGAGGCACAAGGCCTCAATAAGCCCTACCGGGCCCCTATTTGCAACAGGTCGGCCGCCCTAAGTGACGGCAGGCACGACAGACAACAAGAGGCCTATTTTTGACAACTTCGCAACTGGGGTAAAACTCAGGCAGTTGCGCAGCGCCAGTTGGTTGAAGGCGCCCAGGCCCTAGCCTCCTTTATCAAATGTATCTAAGTCAGGCCCTGGGCGAGGTACGCGGCATGGACCCAACTCAGACTGTGGGTAGTTGGGCATAGGTAACTGTCGGTGGCCCTGGACCTGATTCGTTTGGACTGAGGCTCAGCCTCCCTGGGCCTACCGGAAGCTTCTGGGTCGGGGCCCAGTACCGCAGCACAGCACGCAGCAGCATGCCACTTCGATATAGGGAAGGGCCTGCCCACCCATTGGACATTCGGGCACTGGCTGCATTGTGCGCCAGCACTGCTGCGCTATCGCTGGCCAGCGCTCACGCGCTCACGGGCGAGCTGGAAGGAGCAGGCAGCCATAGCCGAGCTGCACTGCTGTATGCTGGATGGGGCGCATGGTGGTCCTTGGGTGTAAGTGGCATCTGTGAGTTGGGGAACGAGGTTGTGAGTGATACGAGAGACATACCTGGTGCTTGACGCATGCGTTATTGGCCGAGATCTGCTCGTACTTGGGAAGTTGTTGACGTCATCAATGGCATTGTAGTCTAGGCTAGATAGGATCTGTCATTCGTAGTCTGGGCCCCGAGCGCCAGATAGGATATCAACATTAATTCTTCGTTGATGATGATGAGACTATTCCAACATTGTCAATTATGAGTTTTTGGTGTGCTCTTATTTGGTGAAACTCGTGATGCAATTCTGCTATTGGTTCGAGGTCACGACTATCTAGTCTTATGTGTATGATGCTGTTTGATTGCTGAAGTTCGCTATTGCTCATCTTCCTTGCAATTTGGTATCAGAGTTGTGGCTCGGTGCGCTAATCTGGCGCTTATCTTCTGCCTAATGCGGTACATGCACGCGGTGTGTACAGTGAGCGACCGTGCCGTGGGAAGTGTGTAGTGAGGAGGGCGAAGATAAGTAGGCGTCCCAGGTGGAAAGGGGTTCGTCAGGAAGGCTAAGCGGTGATTATTGGGTGTTCGTAGTGTGATGAGAACTATCCGGTGTGTGATTGATGCTGAGGTGGAACGGTTGTGCAATGCTGGTTGTGCCGAAGCAGCGACTGGTCATCACAATCAACATCGGGTCATCTGGTGAGAATATCTGTGGTTGGGGGCAGCTATTTTGAGGTACTTAGCACCTAACCTTATCTACCCTCTTCGACACTTCTTACCTTGAGGATGTGTGTTCTGTCTTGAGAGTCCTCTTATGTGAGGAGTCGTGTGCACTCAACCTTGAGAGTCGTCAATCTTTAGGTGGAGCATGTGGAAGGAAAGGGCAGTGCTATCTGAAGGGCCCTAGACGAATCACTGGGTCATGGTCACCATGCCAACCCACCGGGAGTAGAGCACGCATGCTTTGCTGCTTTGTCCTTTGTCCGCTCGCTGCGGTGTTGAGGGGTTCTGAAGGGCAGGCCAGCCCTAGGGGACAGACGAGACCGGACGTCTATAAATAAGCACCGGCGGGGTACCTTCCATTGGCTGTGATCGTCGTCCTATCTGCGACGTTAAAGGATTCCTGAGGACTTCGGGGGCCGTCCATATAAACGCCTCCTGATCAGCCAATCGGTCGGTGTAAGGCTCGCTGCACGCGAGGATAATATTGTGCAGGGCTGGCTAGCTCAGCAAGACTCGAGGCCTAGGGGTGGGCCGTGTGCACACATTTAGACACGCACACTGTCCGGATTCCTCAGGGACTTCGACGACAAAAGACATTTAGGAAGAATTGAGGGAGGGGTAGATTCCATATGATAAGTTTGGGCAAGATTCCACTCTGCAAACAGACCCAACAAATGATTCTATTTTTATTTTGATTAGTTAGATGTACAGCCATTAACATCTGACAGACAACATAGTTTAGAACTGTTTTCTGTTCATTGTGCTTCTGTTTGCGAATTAGTCAAAGTCAAAGTAGTTTCGTTTGTAGGAACCCGAACTTACCTGTTGGACCCAAATGTATATACTCTCTGACGCAGCCACCGATTAATTAGTTTAATTATAAGTTGGTTTGTGCACTACGCTGCGGTAAGCATCAAAGAGTGTCTTAGTGCAGATTGTGTACAGTTCTATAGCTTATGACCGATAGGGATTCCACTAGTGAGGACGACCTGATCTTGCGATCGCCTAGACGCCCGATTGCCCACGTGGCATTAGGACCCGAGGGTGATAGGCTGCTGTTCCGCCAGCAAAGGGAGAGGCAACAACAGCAGTGAAGAGCTAGGGCAGCAGAGGCCAGCAAAGCATTCGCAAGCGAAGCCGCAACTTCAGCAGCCATGGCAACTGCTGCGCAACAGAGTTCCCAGGCTAGCAGTTCAGGGACCGTAGGGTCAACTGTCGCGCAGACCCTGAGTGAGTCCACTGGCGTCATGGCAAGCCAGCCATTAGTGTTGACTTCCGATGAGATCGCCATACAGCAGGCAGCACTGCAGGAGGCACAACTACAAAAGGCCTTAGGAGAGACAAAGGGGGAAAAGGAGAGAATGATTAGAAGAAGAGCCAGGATGCAGCGGAGACAAGTGGACATCAGTGAGTTAGAGGGAATGGACCTGACGCACATGGATGATGATGTGAGGACATTGCGGACAGCCCYGCTAGGTGTTGTAGAGATGCAGGACCACCACACGACTCTCCTTCGGGACATCCAGCAGTCTGGCCTTGCTGGTTGGGTGAGCGCAGACAACACCTTTGCTGTCCGGGCCTGGTGCCTGACCCGTTGTACAACCTCCTCCTTGTGTTCCACCAGCGACTGGGGTATCCCCATATGTCTCCCCAGCATCGGTCTAAACCGTTTCCCTAGGTATGTCGTTAGCACGCGGGTTCTTAGCAGGTCCTAGTGTACAAGTTCCTATACAGACAGTGTTCTCCCAACCTCCGTCGCAGGTTGCCATAAGCAGGCAGCCTGCTGTCTCGCAGCCTGCACAGCCGCAGGGTACACAGCCCCACCAGCAGCTAGTGCAGCAGCCTGCACCACAGGGTCCACAACCTGGAATAGTGCAGGTACCGAGACAAAGTCAGTGGGTTCCAAAGACGGCCATCGCCGCTCCTAAACCCTTTACAAGGGATAAGAGGGGTGAAGACCTCGACACATGGTTGAGGGCAGTGCCAGTCTATGTCAAGTGCAAACTTACCTTGCAAACTTACCTTGCCGCACGAGAAAGTGCTTGTGGCTGCCTCCTATCTAGAGGGGAGTGCAGCAAGATGGTTGAGTGGTTTAGTGCAGCTACAGGGGTACGGTCATGACTTTCGCGCTTGGGCGGTCACCCAGAAACTGGATGACTTCCTCAAGTTGGTGGAAGGCAGGTGGCATGATCCTCCGGAGGCTCAAGAGGCTACTGACGCGATCTTGACACTGCACACGAGGCAGTTTAATTCAATAAGAGAGGCCACTGACGTTGTAGAGCGTCTGATCTGTGTCCCTGGGGTTCGCTATGACCCCCAGGTTTTACTCACCTCCTACCTGAGATGCTTTCCTATGCCTCTCAGGAATCAGTTGGCAGGTGAGGCCAACATCAACATGCACAACTTTCCCTCGTTCAGCAAGAAGGCCCTAGACCTGGAGGCAAAGATAGGGCATGGTCAGACACCCACAGCGGATGGTAGGAGAAAATCACTGCCTCCCAACTGGAAAGCGAAGTGACGCATCATGTTCGTCAACAACGATGGTTCCACCATCGAGTTGGACGACGACTTCCAGTCGGGAGTGGGTTCAAAGGCCGGCAGCGTAGAAGCTTCATGGGGTGGAGTAGTCGCTGCCATAGCGCAACAAGGTAAGGCGACCAGTAGACGCCGTGGAGGTTCCCGGTCTAGGAGTCAAGTTGACCCCAATGCTCCTCCATGGGAGAAAGCGGGTCTCACTTAAGACGTGTGGAGAGATTGGTACATGCGGCAAGCTTGTATCCCTTGTGACTAATATGGCCATAACCAATTCAAGTGTCGAAATAAGAAGGTGACCGAAAAGATCTTGCCTACGATGGGGCAAGCGTTGGGATCCTCCGCTCCCGTTGGTATCAATGTGGCCGGCAGTTCTGGCACTGCTCCGGGAAACGCGTCGGGCCAGTAGGAATAGTAGTTGTTCCTGCCAGGGTCGAGGTGGTGGACACACCCTCACCATCTCGAAAGGTAACCCAAACTACTGACTCCATTGTTGTCCCGCAAACACATTCAGACCCATCGAGCCTCTGTTCGATGATGCGTTCGAGTCCTTAGAGGAGCTAGAGGAGGAGTGGTCTAGATCAGACCCACTAGCTTCTTGGACGGCATTGGCTAAAGCCCCTAAGGGAGAGATGTTCGTCGGCGAGGTAGTCATCGGCGGCCACAAGGCCGACGCCTATTATAACACTTGCTCGACAAGGAACTTCATCAGTCGCGCGTGCGTTGAGAGGCTGCGCTTACAGGGGCAAGTGCAATGCCTGAGTCAACCTGTGGAGTCGACCTATGCCAACAAACAGCGCATGGTAGTCCACGACTACCTTCAGAATGTTGAGTGTTGTTTGCCGTACGCGGGAGGGGAACTGAGACATCGCGTTTCATTCCTAGTGAGCGATGATCTCCCTATGGATATCTTGTTAGGTATGTACTACCTCTCCGTTGCGCAACCCCAGTTTGACAAGGACCGAAAAGTGGTCAAACACACGTTGCCAGGTGGGGGGACCGCCAGATTACGTAAGTTCAAAGCTAGTAGTCTGATTCAGTCCTACAGATGCATGTGTGTGGCCGCGTTCTATAACTATTATAAGCAAAATCCGAAGGAGGGTATGTATCTAGTCTATGTCTCTGCAACAGGCAAGCCGGTGAAAATGCCGCCGGAGATAGAGGGAGTAGTTGCTAAGTACCCTGATCTATTTGAAGAGCCTACAGGGGTTGTTGAGAGGGAGGTCGTCCACGTGATAGAGATTATCCCAGGGTCTAGCATCTCAAAGGGTAGGATCTATCGGATGTCTCCAAGCGAGTTTGATGAGCTTCGCCGACAACTCAATGAACTCGTAGAGAAGGGTTAGATCCGGCCGAGTGTTTCCCCTTATGGATCTCCAGTCCTATTCGTACCGAAGAAGGGGGGGACAGTGGGACACTGAGGATGTGCATTGACTATAGGGGCCTCAATGCCATCACTGTCAAGAACAGAGAGCCCCTACCGCGCATCGACAACTTGCTAGATAGAGTGCAAGGGTGCCGGTACTTCAGTAAGATAGATGTGAAGTTCGGGTACCATCAGATTGCAATCCGGCCCGAGGATCAACACAAAACCGCATTTCAAACCAGGTACGGTCTGTACGAGTTTGTGCTGATGCCTTTCGACCTTTGCAATGCTCCTGGCACCTTTCAGCACGCTATGAATCGGATATTTCATGACTACTTGGATAAGTTTGTCATCGTGTACCTCAATGACATACTTATTTTTAGTAGGATTGTCGAGGAGCATGTAGCACACTTAGACAAAGTCCTCGGTCTCCTTCGGATGCACAAGTTCAAGATAAACGGGGAGAAGTGTGAGTTTGGCCGCACCCGTATCTTGTACTTGGGTCATGAGATTTTCGCGGAGGGTTTGAACCTCGATGACGCGAAGGTGGCCAGCATTCGTGACTGGCCGCGTCCTTAGTCTGTGACTGAGATGAGGTCCTTCTTAGGGATGACCGGCTACTATCGCAATTTTGTGAAGAACTATAGCATAGTTGCCGCCCCTTTTACAAACCTGAATCGCCTTGACACCCCATGGGAGTGGACAGACAGGTGTGAGGCTGCTTTCAGACATCTGAAGCATGCGTTGACACACCATGAGGTCTTGAAACTTCCTGATGCTGACAAACCTTTCATAGTAACTACGGATGCCAGCCAATATGGCATAGGCGCCGTACTTGCGCAGCAGGAGGGGAAGAAGTTGAAGTCGGTAGAGTACATGTCCAAGAAGATGCCCTCTCAAAAGCTTGCTAAGTCCACCTATGAGAAGAAGCTCTACGCGATCTACAAAGCGCTCACCCACTGGAAGCACTACCTCCTTGGTCGCTTCTTCTATGTCAAGACTGATCATCAGACCCTGAGATGCATGAAGACTCAACCGGTACTCTTCGACGCTCTGAAGCGTTGGATCGAAGTCATTAAGCAGTATGACTTCAATGACTTCGAACCCCAGTACATCAAGGGGGAGTACAACAAAGTTGTTGACGTGCTATCGCGTAGACCAGACTTTCTCAGTGCGCTGGTCACCGAATTTGGGCTTGCGGACGATGTTACTCAGTCTTTGGTGGATGCCTATCGCGAGGACCCGTTTATGGCCGAGATCATACGCAGACTCGAGGCAAAGGATAAAGAGACCTCTCCCGAGTTTGAGTTGGTCAACGGCCTGCTGTTCCTTGAGAAGGCCGGGAATAAGCGTCTGTGTGTTCCTAATAGAGAGTCTTTGCGTAGTTTATTTCTACGTGAGAGTCATGATGCCACCGGACATTTTGGTTTCAAGAAGACTGCAACCAATCTGTTGCAGCGGTTCTGGTGGCCCACAATGATGAGAGATGCCAAACTGTATGTCGAGACTTGTCAAGTTTGTCAACGTGACAAGCCCCGGACACAGGCTCCTCTTGGGCTGCTCAAACCCCTTCCCATTCCGGAGGCCTGATGAAAGCCTGTCCATGGACTTCATGGATACGCTGGTCACCAGCAAGAGTGGCATGAGGTACATCTACGTCATTGTGGATAGATTTAGTAAGTATGCTAGGTTAGTGGCCATGCCAGAAACAGTAAAGACCAAGTACGTTATCAAGCTATTGAAGGAAAACTGGGTTAGAGACTTTGGCCTGCCGAAGTCTATAATCAGCGACATGGATGTCCGATTCACCAGTGAACTGTGGAAGGTCGCAGCTGCCGAGCAAGGAACGCAGCTGCAGATGACATCTGGAAACCATCCGGAGGCAAATGGACAGGCAGAGCAGATGAACCACGCTGTTCAACACTTGCTAAGGCATTACATTAAGCCTAATCAAGTGGATGAGAAGCTTGCTCTCATCGCCAGCCTGTACAACAACGCAGTTCATAGTGCCACGGGAGTAAGTCCTAACAGCCTACTACTAACGTTCAAACCCAGACTCACACTTGATTTTCTGCTACCTGAGAACCAGCCTACTGCAGCTCCAGGAACTTTGGAATTCGCCTACAGATATGAGAGTCATATGCAGCAGGCAGTAGATCAGAAGCACAAAAGCACAAGCAGCGATGATCGAATCTGAGAACAAGCACCGTCGCCCATCTACGTTTCAGGTAGGGGACAGGGTCTAGGTCAAGGCTTCCGAACTAGGACAGGAGCACGGTATTTCCCGTAAGCTCATGCCACAGTACTTTGGGCCATGGGAGGTTTTGGATGTAGTTGGGGACGAACCAGACGGACCCTCCTATGTCATTCGGATCCCTGGACACCTTCGCACTTACCCTGTTTTTCACCCTCTAAGCTTGCACCGTTCGGAGAAACTGATCAGTTTCCCTCTCGTCGCACTATGCTGCCCCCAACCATGGATGGAGAGGTCGGCATCGATGACATCGTTGATCGCAAGGAGATGCCAGTTCCAAGACCGGCAGGCAGGGGACGTCCTCCAAAACCGAAGCTACAGAATAGAGTTCGGTTCAGACATCACACTGATCCAAAGGAGGACCGATGGTTTACCAGGGAGGAACTGATGCAGACCGCTCCTCAGGTTGTGACCCAATATGAAAAGTCTCTGCAGAAGGGAAAGCGCCAGATTATCGAAGACTGAACTTCTCAGAGGACTAGCGAAGTATGGACCCAACTCAGACTGTGGGTAGTTGGGCACAGGTAACTGTCGGTGGCCCTGGACCTGATTCGTTTGGACTGAGGCTCAGCCTCCCTGGGCCTACCGGAAGCTTCTGGGCCGGGGCCCAGTACCGCAGCACAGCACGCAGCAGCAGGCCACTTCGATATAGGGAGGGCCTGCCCACGCATTGGACATTCGGGCACTGGCTGCATTGTGCGCAAGCGCTGCTGCGCTCTCGCTGGCCAGCGCTCACGCGCTCACGGGCGAGCTGGAAGGAGCAGGCAGCCATAGCCGAGCTGCGCTGCTGTATGCTGGATGGGGCACATGGTGGTCCTTGGGTGCAAGTGGCATCTGTGAGTTGGGGAACGAGGTTGTGAGTGATACGAGAGACATACCTGGTGCTTGACGCATGCATTATTGGCCAAGATCTGCTCGTACTTGGGAAGCTGTTGACGTCATCAGCGGCATTGTAGTCTAGGCTAGATAGGATCTGTCATTCGTAGTCTGGGAGCCGAGCGCCAGATAGGATATCAACATGGGTTCTTCGTTGATGATGATGAGACTATTCCAACATTGTCAATTATGAGCTTTTGGTGTGCTCTTATTTGGTGAAACTCGTGATGCAATTCTGCTATTGGTTCGAGGTCACGACTATCTGGTCTCATGTGTATGATGCTGTTTGATTGCTGAAGTTCGCTATTGCTCATCTTCCTTGCAGTTGCCATTTGTTGGCATATTTATGAGACCTATAGTACTGTACAAACAAAAAGAGAAGCTACAACTGCAGAAAAGAACAGAAAACGTAGTGCACCTAAATAGATAAATAGCAGTACTAATACTGTAGTGTTTCGAGCATCCCAAGCCCAAAAGGTTCCCCACACCAGTTTTTCTCAAAAAATTCTAGGAACTATAGTGAAGAAGAAGTATCTTGTCCTCACAGCCGTCTCCACTTAATTAGAATGGGGTCGGGGGCAGAAAGACCTGACAGTGTGTTTGTGACCTAAGATGGGTTTTCATTCTCCCTGTCTATCCTGAAGGGATAGAGGGGCAGTGAAAGTTGATCGACAGACTATCCATGGAAATGAGGATGGATTGGCTGAGACGTGCACTGGGGCGATTTCTAGGATTTATAGGTTTGGGGGCAGGTGGGTGATGCCATACTCAGGCTATGGCGTTAAGCAACGCTTGGTCTGGAAGTGGGGTTACCTTTGAGTTTCTTTGACTCTTCACATTGATTGGGCAGTTGGCCCACTCTGTTCTATGTGAATGCAATTGGTAGTGGCTTGCTACTTGCTGGCCACGCGTCCTTGACTCCTCGCTATTTTCATGCATGAGACATGTGGTGGGGTGAGGTCTAGGATTTATAGGTTTCTCAAAGGAAGGGAGAAGATTGAGAGTGGGTGAAACACACCGAGGACGTGGGGCTTCTTCCTTTTCTGTGAATCAGTTAGAATGACAGTGCTGCTATAGTGGGGGGTAGCAGTTCCACTTTTTTTTTATTTTTTTTATTTTTTTAAGCCCAGGTTGTTGTAGAGGCCGGATTCCAGGCATACACGGTGGTTGCAGTCATCAGTCAGCCATTGGTTACCCTGGCAATTTTTTGTGAGACACCTCCCTAACCATCCTCTCGTCAATTCTTTTAGCGCACCCCCTATTCCCACTATCCTACATCAGTGTTAATCACTCAGGACTATCACCTCACCATCCCAGAGGGTGACTTGGACTGGACAGCAGGTATAGGCACCACGGCTAGGCAGAACCCCACCCAGCCCCAGTTGAAGCATGATCTGGCAAGCCTTGTCACACCGGTACTTCAGACGCCAGGCTCAAGCAGTGTTTTCATCGGCCCCCACGTGATATCCTAACCCTACTGAGCATATCACTGACCATATCTGATAGGCCCCCAAAGCCCAGATCAAGTTTATGACACCCCTAGCAGGAGCTGGATACCCCCCCTGTGATTGTAATTGTGCCCGTCAGCTATGTATGTGCTCATCGGCTACGTGCATGCCAATTGGCTGTGTGTGTGCCCATAGGCTGTGTATGTGGCCGTAGGCCGTGTGTGTGTCCATAGGCTATGTATGTGTGCCTGTAGGCTGTGTGTGTGTGCCTGTAAGCTATGTGTGTGCCAGTAGGCTATGTGTATGTGCCCGTAGGCTGTATATCTGTAAGAGTTTTGTAATTCTGTGTATTAGTGATCTGTGCTAGAAACTCCCCGGCAAACTCCGAAGCCAGACTCAAGCCCACGCTCCTCATTATGTAACAGTTGTGCTCAACCATACATGCTACAGTCTCAAATGGTACCAATGTCCGATATGCCAGACTGAGGAGATCATCAAAACACCCTATGGCCAATGTCCTCAGGCAACTCGCCCGTAGTCAAGCCCTGACATACAACAATCCTGGACTAAATCCTTGGGCGGTGCAGGCAGTGTCTGTAATCCTTACCGTGCACCAACCCAAGGGATTACTGTGTACAGCCATGCATCGGGCAACGCCTGCTGGTGTCCATGTACGAGGCTGCAGGGTTCTGAACCCACAACCTCAAGCCACAATGCACATTTCCAACCGGTGCTCTACCCACTGAGCTCATTGGCTGCACTGCAGTTTTGCTGTTAATGACCATCCCTCCTAGCTCTTCCTAGGCCTTCTGTATATCACCGGCTGCTTTTGTCTACCAGGTTAATCCTTCCATTTCGGAAGCAATCAATGCTGATAGCGTGTGCTTACATGCTAGGGAAGCTGTCTGCTGATGGTTCAGGTAGCAGCGACCACGGTTCCCTCAGCCGTGATGGGGGGAAGCGTATGTGCGTAAATTTTTTGTTCCTGCCAGTGGTGGTGAGGCAGACTGCTGCTCCTCAGAATGGAAGGGACATGAATTCTTCAAAAGAAAGAAAAGAGGAAGAGGAAAAAAGCTAGGATTGGTCACAACATCCAGCAAATAGAAACAGGAGGCACCTTTGTCGAAAAAAAAAAGAGGAATGCTTTCTGGAGGGATTGTATACAAGGGATGCTGGACCCGGTTTCCAGCAAGTGCTGCTCCCCACCAACAGATTGGAGCAGCCGGCGAAAGCCACTAGAGCGGTGTGCTCTCACCACCTCCTCTAATGGACCAAGGCCGGCTTTTGCTATTAAAAAAAAAAGGAGAGAAGGAGTTTTTGTTTTCCGCTTCTTCTTCTTGTGAGGCTCAAGGCCTCCGTAAGCCCTACTGGGCCCTGTTTCAGCCAGAACGGCCGTCCTAAGTGAAGGCGGGCCTGACAAGGCACGAGAGGCCTATTTTGCTGGGTTGAACGCAGCTGAGAAATTCAGGCAGTTGCACAGCGCCAGTTGGTTGAGTGAGCCCAGGCCCTGCCCGTCAAATGAATCTGAGGCAGGCCCTGGGCCAGACACGGGGCATGGACTGAACACAGGCCGCTGGCAGTTGGACATGGGTAACCACCCCAGGCCCTGTGTCTGATTCCCAGGGTCAGGGGCTCAGCACTTGGGGCCTACCGGAAGCTTCTGGGCAGGGTCCCAGCGCAGCCAGGCAGCGCGCAGCAGGCAGGCCACTTTGATAAAAGAAAGTGCCTGCCTCCGCATTGGACATTCGGGCACTTGCTACATGCTGCGCAAGCGCTGCTGCGCTATCGGCAGGCAAGCGCCCACACGCTCACGGGCGAGCAGGGCACACGCAGGCAGCCGTAACCAAGCTGGCCTGCAAGATGCTGGATGGGGCGCATGGTGGTCCTTGGGTGCACGTGGCATCTGTGTGGGGGATGAGGTTGTGAGTGAAGCCTGAGACATACCTGGTGCTGGAGGCGAACGGCGTTGGCCGAGATCTGCTCGTACTTTGGGAAGCTGTTGACGTCACCAGCGGCTTTGTAGATAGGCTAGGTAGGATCTGCCATTCGTAGTCTGGGCGCTGAGCGCCAGATAGGAATTCGACATTGGTTCATTGTTGATGATGATGAGACTATTCCAGCATTGTCACTTGTAAGCTTTTGCTGTGCTCTTATTTGGTGGAACTCGAGTTGCAATTCTGCTTTTGGTTCGAGGTCAAGACTATCTGGTTTCATGTGTATGATGCTGCTTGGTTTCTGGAATTCGCTATCGCTCATTTTCCTTGCATTTTGGTATCGGAGCTGTGGTACGTTGCGCTAATTTATTTATTTATTTATTTATTTATTTATTTTATTTTTTATTTTATTTTTTTTTAACAACGGGCCCAGTGCCCAAGGCTGATATTCCAAATGATAATATTGAGGCCGGGGTCCTCACAATCTGCCCGGAGACACCGAACC